TTAACTATGTCTTAGTAGTTGATACTGCTAATAAAAATAGACAAGTATTTGTTACCCGTGTATTTGATAACTGCTAAATTGAGATTGAGGGATGTGGGTTACCGATTCATTTGTTCCCGATGCCGATAAGGTAATTTGATATTGTGGTGGGCATGGATTGGTTAGCAGAGAATCAGGACAGTATTGAGCGTTGATTTACCAGGGAAAGGGACGATTTTGAGATATGGTGATCGGCTGAATCATCACTCTAATCTGATATCTGTCATGAAAGCTCGAAAGTGTGTTCAGAAAGGGTGTCAAAGTTTTCTAACTTATGTGGTCGATTCAAAGACAGAAAAAGGTAAACAATATTCTATCCCTGTCGTTTGTGAATATCCTGAGGTATTTCTTGATGATTTAATTTGTTTACAACCTGATCGATCCATGGAGTTCAAAATTGATCTAACGCCTGGGGCAGCACTAGTAGCCAGAGCACCATATTGTTTGGAACCATCTGAATTAAAAGAGTTAATGACCCAGTTGAAGAAATTTCTTGATAAAGACTTTATCAGATTGAGTACATCTCATTGGGGTGCTCCCATGTTGTTTGTCAAGAAGAAATACGAAACGATGAGGATGTGTATTGATTATCGAGAAATGAATAAGCTAATGATAAAGAACATATATCATTTTACCAAGAACCGATGATTTGTTTGATCAACTAGTTGGGGCAAGTTACTTCTTCAAAATCGATTTACGGCCAGGGTAGCATCAATTGAAAGTCATAGACAAAGATATTGCCAAAATTGCGTTCCAAACAAGATATGGGCATCATGAGTCACCAGGTTATGTTGTTCGGACTGACAAATGCTCCAAGAGCGTTCATAGATTTAATGAATATGGTATGTAATGAATATCTTGATAAATTTGTTATTATATTTATCTACGATATCCTTATATGCTCACAATAAGAAGTTAAGCATGCCAAACATCTCGTTAATTCTCGAACTTTTAAAGAAGGAGAAATTGTATGCCAAACAGTCGAACTGTGAATTTTGGTTAAAGGCAAGCCTAATTTTTGGTTCATATAGGTTCTGAAGCAGGGGTAAAAGTGGATCATGTCGAGAATGAAGCTATTGAGAGATGGGAAGTACAGAGAACCCCCACTGAGATTCGTTGTTTCTTGGGTCTGGTGGGGTATTATTGAAAATTTATCCAAGACTTCTCATGTATTGCTGCACATTTGACCAAGCTGACAAGGAAGAATGTTAAGTATGAATGGGGTGAGGACTAGAGCAAAGCCTTCCAACTGTTGAAAGATCAATTATGCAGTGCTCCAATATTGTCATTACCAGATGAGTCAGAAGATTTTGTGTTGTACCGTGATGATTCGAAACTGGGTTTAGGATGTGTATTGATGCAGACGGGGAAAATTATTGCATACGCTTCTAGACAGTTAAAAGATCATAATAAACAGTATCCTACACACGACATGGAGCTTGCGGCCATCGTTTTTGCATTGAAGATTTGGAGGCATTATTTATTGGGAACCAAAGTCTAATTTACACTAATCATAAAAGTCTTCAATATTTGTTTAATCAGAAGGAACTAATATATGAGGCAAAGATGATAGATTGAATTGGTGAATGATTGTGATTCTGAAATCCTTTATCACCCCGAGAAGGAAAAGGTGGTGGTTGACGTTCTTAGTAGGAAGGAAAAGAGTGGAATAATTAAAGCCATTGCGTTGAGAAAAAAATTAATCCCCGACATTCTTAATGAAGTTTTGAGATGTCAAAGTAAAGTCGTCAAAGAAGAAAATTTCAAAGCTAAAAGAGTTGGTGGAATAATATCAACCCTGTCAAAGAACAATAAATGGGTTTTATTTTTCCAAGATAGAATCTCGCTACATGTTTTGGGAACAACCGTGAATTGACTCTAGACGAAAGTCACAGATCGCGATACTTGATTCATCCAGGTACCAGTAAGATGTACAAAGATTTAAAATCATTTTATTGGTGGCCAGGATTGAAGAAATATATTGTGAAATACATGGAGCGGTGTTTGACGTGTATGCAAGTAAAGATTGATCATCAACGACCATATGGGAATTTACAGTCTTTGGAAATTCTTATATGGAAGTGGGATCATATCACAATGTATTTCATCACGAAGTTACCATGCACTCCAAAGGGGTATTATGCCATATGGGTTATTGTAGATCATTTAATAAATCTGCCCACTTTCTAGCAATCAAGGAGAATTATCCTTTAGAAAGGCTTGCGAAGATTTATATTGAAGAAAGAGTTACTTGTCATGGTGTTCCTTTGTCAATTGTCTCAGATAGGGACAAAAGATTTACCTCGAAGTTTTTGGGAAAGTTTTCAAAGAGTTGTGGGATCTCAGATCAGATTGAATACAACGTATCACCCTCAGACATAAGGGTAAAGTGAAAGAACAATTCAGACCCTTGAAGACATGTTGAGAGCTTGTACTATCGGCTTCGGGGGATCATGGGAAAATCATTTGCCTTTGATCAAAGTTGCTTACAACAATAGTTACCATTCCAGCATTCAAGTGGTACCGTATAAGTTTTTGAATGGCATAAAGTGTAGAACGTCGTTGTGTTGGAATGAAGTGGAGGAGAAGCAGTTGGCTAGTTCGGAGATAGTTCAAATAACTACTAAAAAGATAGATCAAATCTGAGAACGAATTAAAACAGCTACATCGACAGACGCTGCAAACCGATTGAATTTCGGTAGGAGATTTTGTGATGTTGAAGGTTTGCCCATGGAAAGGTATCGTAAGATTTGGAAAAAGGGGTAAGATCAGGCCGAGGTACATTGGTCCATTTAGAAATCAGTTAGAGTTACCCGAGGAACTCAATGTTATTCACAACACTTTTCATGTCTCAAACCTGCAAAAGTGTTTGGCCGATCCGAATTTGGCAGTACCGCTACCTGAGGTGCAAGTTGATAATAAGTTGAATTTTGTGGAAACCCTGAGGCCATCACTGAATGGAAGACAAAGGTTTTGAGGAATAAAGAAATCAGTCTCATAAAAGTACAGTGGCATTTTGACAAGGGTCAAGAAGCTACTTGGAACTAGAATTGGAGATGAGATCAAAATATCCTCAGTTGTTTGATTATTTGAATTATGGGATATAATTCTTTAAGAAGAGGATAATGTGATAATCGGGTCATCAGTTAATAGTTTAGGGTTGTTTTTAATTATTGGTGGTAAGTGGAAGGGGGGTTAATTTAAATATGTGTTTAAAAACAATTTAAAACCCCACTGCCTCATTTCTTTAATTGTTTATTATAAGAGATAATTTTATTATCTCATTGGGATGGTGATTAAGAAGTAATAAGCAATAAGCTTTCTGTATGTGATCTCTTGTGCGAATAAAAATATAACCGTAAGGGGAAGAAGAAGGAAGTTGATTCTGTGATTTTTTCTTGGATAATTGTTGATGTTCATCTTCACAACATCTATATGTGATTCTATAAGGTGAGTTTATTTTACAAACTTTCCTTTTATGGTGTTGAAATTAGAACCTTGTGGTTTTTTACGTGGAAGTTTTTGAAGCCGAGTTTATGTTATTTTTAGCATGAGTTGATATTTTGATATGATTATTTCAAGTGATTGGAATAAGAGGTGTATTTTGGTTATAAGAATGGTATATCAAGGAGAGGTGTATACCAGGATAAGGGTCGCATAATTAAAATTATGTAAAATCTGGGTTTTTGATCAAATTGTTAAATGTTGTCACATCCTTATGATGCGATGACTTTCAGTTGTTGCATCTGTGTGATGCGATGACTTAAATTATGACATCCTATTGATGCGATGAATAGTTGTTATTGCATCCTTATGATGCGAGAAGTATGTTTGTTGCTTTCTTGTGATGCGATAAGTTAACTTATTGCACCATTGTGACGCGACAAGTTGGGTTTATCGCATCAAGTGTGATGCGATGAGACGGGATTCACGCACCATTGTGTTGCGAGGAAATGTGATTGTCTCACTCATGTGATGCGAGGAATGTACGATTTTATCTATATGATGCGATTAGTTTTATCATAATACGATAAATGAGTTGTTTGACTATTTGATGTTATAATTGGATGATGTCTCATCATTTTGATGCAACAAAAGAGGTTTGCTTTATTAAAATGTTGTTTATTTGTTATTGATACAAATATGAAATTATAAATATGTTTTGGTGATTATTCACCTATGTATCGAGATCTTCGCCAATCTTACTGGTGGCCAGGGATAAAGAAAGACAGAGCCTATTATGTCGAAAGGTGTTTGACATGTCTGCAAGTCAAAGTTGAACATCAACGACCATATGGTAAGTTACAACCGCTAGAAATTCCAGACCACATCACAATGGACTTTGTGATGAAACCCCCAAGAACACCAAAAGGTTTTGATGCTATATGGGTAATCATTGATAGACTTACTAAGTCTGCAAATTTTCTTGCAATTAAAGAAACGTATTCGATGGAAAGACTAGCTAAGCTGTATAAAGACGAGATTGTGACTCGTCATGGTGTTCCCTTACCGATAGTCTCTGATAGGGACATTTGATTTTTTTGGAAAAGCTTTCAAAGAGAGTTGGGGTCACGAGTGAAGCTAAGTACAACCTATCACCCGCAAACAGATGGTCAAAGCGAGAGGACCATTCAAACTCTAGAAGATATGTTGCGGGCATGTACTATCGATATTGCAGAGTCATGGGAAAGCCATTTTCCATTGTAGAATTTTCCTATAATAATAGCTATCATGCTAGCATTTAAGTCGTACTGTATGAAGCTTTGTATGGGAGAAAGTGTCGAACGCCATTATGTTGGAATGAAGTGGGTTAAAAACAATAGGTTGGCCCCGAAATAATTCAGCAGACTACCAACAAGATAAAACAGATAAGGGAAAGGTTAAAGGTAGCTCAAGATAGACAGAAAAGCTACACAGATAAAAGACGAAAACCGGTAGAATTTCAAGTTGAGGACAAAGTTATGCTTAAGATTTCACAGTGGAAAGGCGTTGTTCATTTTGGAAAGCGAGGGAAGCTAAGTCCTCCTTACATTGATCCTTACATGATAACTGAAAGGGTAGGTGAAGTTGCTTATAAGTTGGAACTACGTGAAGAACTTCACGACATCCATAACATGTTCCATTTATCTAATCTAAGGAAGTGCTTGGCTGAAGGAAGTAGTAAGCTAACTCTTAAGGATGTAAAAGTAGACCGAACTTTGAGTTATATTGAAAAACCAAAAGTTATCGTTGATAGAAAAGCAAGAAAACTAAGAAATAAAGAGATTGCTCTCGTGAAAGTTCAAAGGAGACATCATGGAAGGCCGTAAGCGACATGGGAACCCGAGAATGAGATGAGATTGAAGTACCCTCATTTATTTGCATAAGGCAAATTTCGAGGATGAAATTCTATTATGGGGGGAGTTTGTAATAACTCTTATCTATTTTGTTAAAAAATATTATATGTTTAGAGACTGTATATATCAAGTAAGGGGAAGTTCGGATTCATTTATAGTTGGCATATCTAAAGGCCTAAAACGAACGCGATAATTAATGCAGGGCTTTGTCTATTCTCCAAGTCAAAACCGTCAGTGTGATCAAGTATATATAGGAGGTAGGTCTACAAGAAAAAGAAAAAAATGAAGAAAAGTCTGGAGGAAAGGAACTCATATAAGAGGGGAAGGACATCAACAGTTAGGGAAACACAATTAGTTTGGTGCCAGTCGATAAGTGTCATGTACCCCTCATCTATAAATTTCATTGCTAAATAATCGCTATTAGTCATTCGATCGTTCGTGTGGGTTCCCATAGGGCAACGGTGGCCAATGGTCACCATTAGCACCTCCACCGTGGCACCGGGTTGTCAAATGGTGATCCTCGTTTTGATTTTGAAAGATAGAACTTATGGTTTGTGTGTGTGTGTGTGTATATATATATAATTGATGGCCCGACATTTTGCCGCTGCGATGAATCAAATGGTTGAGAATTCTTTGTGATGACAAGTTTTAAACGAGATATTTATGGGTAATTAAACTTCATTAGTTCACTGGTATTTTAAAGAGAATATATATATACACACACACACACACACACAAGTGGTGTACCCACGCGATGCAGCACGGGTAAATCGCAATCCGGAAACATTAGTTTGGCCTAAAATCATGAGTTTGTGTGGTCCATTTACAAGTCAACTAATATATAAAGTTGAAGGTTAATGCGGTGTATTAGCAAGATCGAATGAAAAAAATTGCACACATGTCGGGTTTTTGAACCCATCTACTTAGAGCTCATTACAAAACTTGAAAAATTCTTGACTGAACAAAGAAATACAATTGTTTTTAAATAATGTTCATCCGTATATCCAAAATGTTGTTTGTTTTTCATGATGCACTCATCCGTAAATATTTCCTACAAAAAAACGGGGCAATGGTTTTAATAGAAACATATGGTAACAAATGTGTAATAATATAATTGTTGATTATACCTTATTCATTACATAAAACTTCTTAATAGACGACGTTTAAGGTGTAGATACTGACACGATTGAATTTTTTAACAGGCTTCACTTACACCTTCGTATTGCCCCGTGATTTCCCTCTAGACAATGCCACGTAAAGTTGCCCGTGTGAGAAAACTGATTCCGGTAGATAAACACCTACATTCGGAATTGTTTGGCCTTGAGCTTTATTGATTGTCATAGAAAATCTAAGCCGAATTGGATATTGTTTTCTCTTCAGCTTAAATGGGAACACGTTGTCTTCGGACGGACATAAGGGAATTCACGGCAGAAATACTCTCTTTCCAGCATACTGACCAACAATTATTTCTGCATCAACGACGTTCTGTTGAAAGCCTCTGCATATCAATATACTCCCATTACACAATCCATTCGAGGGATCGATATTTTGTAACATTATTATTGGGAATCCAATCTTGAGACGAAGGTAATGAGGAGGCAAACCACTAACAGTTAAAGAGTTTAAGAACTCCATCGGATAGATGTTGTTCTTATCATCTTCTGCTTCATCGAAGCTGTAGTATATTTTTTCATCTCCAAAAAACCTGTCGATCAACTGATCATTAATCTCATTGACATTCTCATTTTTAGCTGATAATATCACCCTCGAAATGATATAATCCGAATCAGCTCCGTTGATTTTTAGAGATGGAAAGATTGCGTCAATCAACGCATCTTTTGACTTATCTTTATCAGTATAGGGAATGGTCATGTCATCCGGTATGCGAATAAAGCTTTTGTCCACTACTTCTTCATCACCATCACCGACTTTTAATAAAAATTCTGAAAACCACATATCAGTGTGTGCTCTCATATTGAGCGTTAACCGTATCTTTTTAATGGTTGACCAAAGAGGTGACATCCCTAAGCTAAAATCTACAATTTGTGCTCGGGTTCCATGTCTCACGACCGGTAATACTTGTCTAAAATCACCCCCCAAAACCATTATCTTTTCGTCAAATGAGAGTGCCACCCCTATGATGTCTTGCATTGTTTGATCAAGCGCCTCCACCGCTTGCCTCTTTGCCATCGATGCTTCATCCCAGATGATTATTTTTGCATCTCGAATCAATTAAGCAGCCCCTGTTGGTCCCAGCTGGGTCTAGAAGAGTTTTAGACGAACAGTTTGCAAATAAGATGAAATGGATGAACGATTTAGCTACAAAAACAATACAAGAACCTGAGTTTTGAAGAACATGTAAACCAAATCAATACAAGATTAAGCAGACATATGTGAACAGGGACACTCATGGACACTGTGATGGTGTGACTCACATTGATAGCCTCTCTTTTAGAGTCCATAAATTATATGATCATTTTACACATAAGCTATAGTAAAAAATAAGCCTTCTGTTAATGTTGTTATATAACCAGAAATTATATAATTCATTGTTAAAGATTATACATACCATTACCAAAGGCTTAACATAGATATTAACTTAAAAATTTTCCTACTGTATTATATGTTTTAATTATATTAGCCTCTCTTTGTTTCTTATGACCATAAGGCCATCACCATTAATCTGTAACAATATACTATATAAGGCCATCACCATTAATCTATAACAATGACCATAAGCCTTATTCTGTTTCTTATGCAGTAGCAACTTGAAAGAAAAAAACTTGACAGGAGCATGACAAAACATGTACAAAGAAACATGTACAGTCCCAAACAGAATGCAGTCCGAAATAGCTGATTATGGAGTTTGTTATGTTAAGCTACCAATATCTCCATACACACACCAGAAGCAATTAAATTTCACTGTCTTATATATTGATTTGTAGTTGAAGTGGAGGGAAGTTGATGATTAGGGGAAAGAATAAAAATTGAAGAAAAGAGGAAAAAATAACAACTTTGTTCTCTTCAATGGAGTTTGGTTTCAAGAAAATGCAGAAGCTTTATTTAGTGTTAATGGTGGTCTTATTATTGTGTTTTTGGGTCTGTTTCAGTTCAACTACTGTTTCTTATGATCATAAGGTGTAACATTCTGGCTATTATTTCAGGTTTATATATATATATTTATATATATATATATGTGTGTATAATATATATATGATTTGTATGTGTGTATGAGGTATTTTATTTAAAAATTAAAGAGGGGAGGTCGGCTAGAGGAGCTTCCTATCACCCCTCCTCTTTAATGTTTTGAGTACTTATAGTTTTTGTAAAGAGGAAACACACACACATTCCATATATAGAAAAGTTTCTCTGAAGAAGTAGAATTGCACAACAAGGAGAAGGAGATAACAAAAGCTTTGATTCTCAATTTGTAAAGGTGAGTGTATTAAAAGCTTTGAATATGAATTGCTTTCATACAAATTGTAAAGCATTTAGATATGATTATTATGAGTTTGGATGCATTTTATGATGATTCTTGTGTAAA